TAACCTGTATATACCGCAAACATATTGTTTATATTCATTATATATTTATATATTGTAGGATTTATAAATAATAATAGTAACTTGAATAAATAATGAATATTTTAGTTTTTGCATTTTTGTTTGAGAAAATGTACATTTTCCTATACAATTTTGTTTGAATTACAAAATCATTTGAATAAATACTAAGTATTTTACCATCTCTAATTAAAAAAATAAAAAAGTAGATTTTAATTTGAAGTAAAAACTTAGAAATCCCTGGGGAACTTTAGGATAACACTAATTAATAATTATTTATATTTTGTATTGTTTGGTACCGAATTATTACTATCTTATTTCTTATCTCAACTCCCCAGTGATAACAACAATTGATGAAACCTTATTAATGTTATATCTACGTAAAACTAATTTCACAAAATGTTAAATATATTTTAATAGTTTTTGAAAAATATAATTCTACACAATTACAATAATATACCCTAATTGTAAGAGAATAGTCATATTTTATAACTCATAAACATATTATATTGATCTTGACTTATTATTAAAATTTTACAACATTAACGGTAGAACCTCAATCATTCGAACTAATTGGGACACCACGTGGTTCGAATACTGCAAATTGTTTAAAAAAACATTTTTTTCTTTTTAATATAAAATATAAAATTCTTATGTGTAGGTAACATATATTATTTTATATTATTGTGCGTATTACATATTATTTAATATTATTATTATGTTATCATATAAAAATTACATTATGTACTTAAATAGGTAGGTACAGAAGAACATATTTTAATGATATTTTTTTGATATAATTCGTAGAACAGAGCATTTGGATAGCCTAATTGCCTAATTGTAGTTAAGATAATATATGGGTTTTCATATAATGGCAGTTTTGATAATCGAGATTCTACTGTATTATAATTAATGTATTAGTCAATATTTTATTAGGATATGATACTAAATTAAAAAGCAAAACAATGATATTATATTTTATTTTGATTCTTGTTTTTGAATCAATGACCGTTTCAGACGCATACTCATGTTTTTTTTATAAATTTCATCAGTAATACTGTTATGCTTGTAAATTTCACTATACGTACGCGTATTATTTTACATTGTAATATGTCCAACTAATATTCGATTAACACTGTCATTATATTATGAATAATAATACATTTTAAAGTTCCTAATTCAAAAAAACATTTGTTAAACGAGTTAGGTACTGAAAAAATAGGTACAGTGGCTAAGTATCAAATAAACGAAATAAAGAAATCATAATTAAAATCAAAGTTGTTGTATTATACATAAACTACATATTTCTCACATAATATTACTGAATTATTGTACATTGTACGACGAATCGTGCTGCTCGTGTCTAAATCGTATTCGTTCGATTTGCAGCTACCTAAATAGAAAAAAGGCGTTTTGTAGAATAAATAATATGTCTTTCAATATATCAATATGATATCTTTCTATGGATGTTTGACACATATTATTTTTGTACGAACATTTCAAACCTCATTCGAATAAAATGTAGAACACAACAATATGCTATTGACCTAGTCATAATATTATATATCACGACAAATTCGAACCCTATCGTATCCTCTACTAAATCCATATAATACAACATGTACTTATATCGGTTAGTAATATTTGCTGTGTCAAATATTATTCTAATAAAATATATTAAAACATAAATGATATATCATACTTACAAACATATTTACATTGCATATTTTATTCATTATTAATAGGATTTAATATTTAGGCCTACTTACACATATGAGTACGTTTTTGTGAATTCAACGTTGTACGAACACCAATAAGTTGTAAACTACAACTACACTACTCTGCAGATCCACGGAACTGATTGCGCAGGACTTTTCCGGTGTAATTTTCACCATAATATATTATTAGATTATATTGCTGCGATGGTAAAATTTAATAAAGATAATATATATTTGACCGGTTTTCCGTTTTTCTTTTATCGTGTTTCAATCGCTCCGTCAATCCCAATGGTAACATAGATTTTATTTATTATAATAAATCTGATTCTTCCGTGTTATTTGTTCTTGTTGAGTTATAAATAAATATAACTCGAAATTAATTATTTAATATAATTATAATACAATCTTCAAACAATCGTTTAGCAATGGTCTAATTAAACGCTAACAAAGAAAAACTGATTTGCAAGATATTCAGTATAATAAATAGATGTATACACTTTAATTTACTATATATGATATAGTGATCGTGTAAAATTTAAAATTAAAATAAATACATTTCACCGCAATAAGTCGTCTGCTGTAAAACCGTCAAATGAAAAACCATATCAGTATTATGAGTATTTCATCTGAGCGAGTTCAAAATTAATTTCCTGATGCCGGGCATTAAACATCTCAAACGAACAAACGCTAGTTGGACAATATTCGGTCCGGTGTCAGGTCCACGGACAGATCTGCAGTTACATCTCACTCGAGTCGCGAACATCAGTGTAAGCGTATAGAACGGTTGAAATGATAATAAAAAAAAAAGAGATAACGTTTTTCATTTGGTGAAAAGTATTTTGTATAGGTATATAGGTACACGTGTAATATATATTATATGAGACATTATATTATGTAAGACGGCTGCCGAGGCAAATAATGAATGAACGGCCGGATTACGAAAGCTTTAAAGACACGAATGTGCAGAACCTATATGTTTTGACGACTACGTTTTAAACCGTTGGTAACCACACTAAATCCGTAAAATCGTGAAGGGAAGAGCGAGAAAGTCGTCAAGTCGTGTCCGACCCGGAAAATAAACATATTATTATTAGGTATATATAGCTTCGTAGTTTAACGTTCGGACGACGATGAACATTCATAATAACTACAGTTTCCCTCGGCTTTAATATTGAAAAAAGTGATTTTTTTTTTTTAAACTCGGGTCTCGGCAAGCCGGTTGACTCCGGTCGTTAAAATCCTATAAATAATATATCTCCTGGCCGTTTCGCGCTACCGATTCATTATTTCAACCGCATAGTATATTATATTATATATTATTATATATACATAGGTATTAGGTACCTAAATACAGTAAACCGGACGCAAGGTTGTAATAAAAATGACGAAACACCTCTGCGGCGTTCTAGACGATTAATTAAAGCGCCACATTAACCTGAACATCGCTTTTGCCTATAAATCCGCTGCGTCGCTTTACTGATACGTCTGGCTGTATAAATACGCATTTATCTCGCATCGGTAATCATTATATTATATCCCTAAACTTACGTCAAATCGCGGTACGAATACGTCAATCAATCACGTCCATTCAGACAAATCCGTGCGATATTCTTATTATTTACATAATATAGATGAAATCGATGGTTGTGGTAATACCCAATAAAACACTATGCGACGTCTTTAATTAGTATAACGGTTTTCAGAGATAATTCAGACGAAACATAATATTATCACACATTATGTAATAGATTTTCAAATGATTTCATAGACATTTTAATATTATGTGTATGATTTTCAAAAGTTATTGTTATTATTACTATAATATTTTGCCGGTTGATTTTAATGGTGCCTATATTATTGTTCGACAATTGTTTTGAAGTATTATGTATTGGTGTTTTTATAACAATAATAACAATGGTAATAATAATAATATAATATACAGGAACATTTACTTGGAAATTTATCTCATCGATTTTTATCCTTCGCCCTTAGGCTAAATGTATTTTAATTGGTCTGATACTCTCGTCGAAACAATATACCAATTAGTTGCATAATATGAAAGTTCACTAAAAACAAAAAGTTTGTTGGGTGGGAATTTTATAGAACTATTGGAAATATGACTGGTAGTGAATAATGTAACTGGAATAGTAAATGTAAGTACTCTGTATTTGTAGATCCAGTATATACATAAATAATATATTGAATATAAAACACATGATACATTTTTATTTTAATAAACACCATAAACGTGTTGGATGTTGATGCCATTTGGAATTTAGAATTGAGTATAAACATTTTATGTTATTTGAACACAGAATCTACGATACGAAACGTGGAAATACGTATTTGTTTTATATCTCAGGTATTTAATTTGAGAGATGTAATATTATCGACGGTTAATCAAAATTTGGTCGTGGACATCTCGCTGGTGCTGTAAACTGATTAAGAATCAATTTAATGGGCAGTGATAAACCAGAATTTATTACCGTTGTAATAGTATACCTAATAAAAGGGGTACCTGGCCATACTTATAAGTCTCAGGCCGACACGTGTTACCTCGGATGATGTAGTGTGCGATATAGCATGATGGCGAATCTATATTAATAATAATAAATAATAATACGTAAGACCGAAACTTATATTAATGGATACTCGCCCCGAGCAGGTTAGGTGTAGTGTGATGGAAATAAAATAGAAACTCGAAGTCACGTCATCCCTTAAATAGATCCTTTCCGATGTGTCGCGACGCCGGCTTACCGGCTACGGCTTATATTGAAAGTGGGTCAAAAAGGGCTGGAAGCAGCTGTTAGAAAATAACATTATTATCGGGTATATAATGTCGAATTTTACGTACAGTCGAACTTGTGCCAGCGGTAACCCGACGTAGGTATACCGCGGACCTGAAAGGGGGATGAACGACAAAAATCTGATAACATAATATGAGGCCTACACAAAATAATCATTATTTTCGACAGCTCGTTAAGTATAATACGGCATACGGTAGCATTGTGAGTATGTAATAATAATATAACGCGTAATTATATACTATTATATAACTTTCTCTCCTAGTCCCCACAAGGTGCGTTTGAAGTGAATTTTTCTGGTAATTATTATCATGTTGTTTTTCGTTTCGTTTCGGTCAACTCTGACCGACTGGAATTAAGACCGCATTGGTTCGCATCGGTTCGTATCGGTCGGTCGGTGCAGTTTACCGGAATAATTATACGCCGTTATGTGTGTATATCTATATATATATACTGTATATAGGCGCCACGGCAAACCTAACGTCGGTTATGGACCGTCTGCGATCGACGTTCAAGCGGTCGCGGACGCCGACGGGCGCGGAGATGAAGACGCAGACCAGCCTCGAGGTGCCCAAGCAGGTGCGGTCGGTGTCGTTCGACGAGATCAAGCTGGGGTGCGCCAAGCGGGACGAGGACGCGCGCAAAGAACGGACGTCGGTCGGCGGTGGCCATGCGGCGGCCGCGTCGTCGTTGCGCGTGCCCGCCGGCGGCGGCTCGGGACAGCGGTCGCGGAGCTTCGACTCGTCTGCGGCCGCCGCCAGCACCAGCGCGGCCACAGGCGACCGTGACGACCCGGGCGTCTATCTAGAGGTGCCGTCGTCCAAGCACCAGCTGTTCCACCGGCGCCGGTCGTCCGGCGAAAAGGTGCCGGCCGCCGCGGCTTGCGTGCACTGCGCTTATCTGGAGGAGCTGTCCAAGATGAACAGGTCGTCGTCTGGCGACGAGAACCAGAGGTATTGGCAACACGACGGGTCCTAATGTGGTGACCTGTTTCGTTGTGTTTTGATTTCTACTTCAGTCTCGTCGTCTCCGTCGACACCGATATAGCACGCGCGCAGGACGATTCTTTTATAGCCAACAGCTCGCCAATATCAGTGTTATATTATGGCGTCATCCGATTGGGATCCTGAACTTGACGTGGTTATGCATTCTTATTGGGTTCCGAGTCTTAGGTTCCTACTACAACACTTTAGTTGGGTCCCGGATTATTTTGCATATTACACTTGTCTTGGGCCCTGCATGGACTTGGTATGATGATTCATTGGTATACCTGCTATTTGGGTACTGGATTTTTGGGAGATATTCAGTGCGCGTTCTAATTTTATAAATTGATACCTCGGTATAATTTTCCGATCGCGTCCCAAACTAAAAATTATGTTTATATTATATAGCCAATGTGTGAGTCCCGGATTAAATGAGTTGCATTGCTAGGGTTAGGTGTGATTTCGATCTCAGAAGGAGATGAATTTTATTCCACACCAAAAATTTGTTTTTGGGATTTTTATTTTTAAAAGGTTATAATATTATTTTCATCAATTTAAAAAATTTAAAAAGTGTAATAGTTGAACATTAATAATTTTTATTGATAATCACATTATAATGTTGTTTTGACTGATTCTTAAAATGATATTTTCACGAGATAAACTCCATGTGTATTGAATTTTCTAATAGTATCAATATTGTTCTCAATGAATGTATTTTTCTGGTTTATCAGCCTACATTTATAAGATATTTGATTAGGAGATCCAATTAAAATTGTGATAAATTATAATGTTATTAATATTGATTATTATTAAATAATTGTGTCCGGATGAGGTGGATATAATAAAGTTGGTTTAATTATACGGACTCGGTAGGACTCTTCCAAAAATATCACCATTAACACTCATAACGCATTTGGACAGTTAAAAAATTACAATTTTAAAAACCAGACCTACTTACTTTGATGACTCCCAATTTTAGATAATTAAAATATGTTTAACGTAGAGCGATAGCGTCGAAATACGAAACGGTAGTAAGTCAAACTGTTTAGATTATTTCAATGCATGCCATTGTTTTGCTTATGATATTTCATCTAGTGACATTTTGAATGAAATGCATACTAATAATGTCAGATATGTTAAATTGACCACATCAACTCGACACTGATAATATTCCATAATTATACCAAGTACCAATGACGCGAAACTGTCCAGTACGTACTTACCAAAAAACGTTTACGACCTAACTAGTGTAATATCTAAATCAATCCGGAGCTATCAACTATATTCGATTATCCTTACATCTCTAGTGTCATTTGGAACACTCAACTAAGATACCCCGAATGTTTTAGTCTGCTGGCCACACTTTAATAGGAACTAATAATCGATAAAAATGGCTCTCAAAGCCTAAAAATGTTTCATCGTATTTTCTCAGACAGTTGATTGGCGGTCACTGCAATCATCCGGTTGGTATGGCGGGTAAAGGTAAATGGTAGATTTCGAGCGAGTGTTGCGTCTCCGAGCACAACAGTCTATCATTATTGGACACGCGGCTGTGGGTATGGTTCCGGTCGATTGATTGACCGATGGTTAGCTGATGAATTGGCGGTTAAGGTAGTCGGACAGCAAGTGTAAGGTGAGGGGATTGGTGTAGTCCTTTTAAACTTACAGGATTCATGTTCCCCGTTAGTAGTAAAAACGAAACAGTGACAATTTTTCTTTGTTTCATCTATGGGATTTTCTTGGTCCTACTTATTTGATTGTAGAAAAATCGATCCAACAACAATTATTCTAAAATGATTAACTATCTACTACTTACATAGTGTTTTTTGTGTATTATATAGTTATGCGAGTTCAATAATTTTAAGCATAATTCTATCAGTTTTGCGTATTGTCATAACACTGTTTTGTCCGTATAAACTCTGATTAACAATAATTCAAGTCTTATAAAAACGTATATACATTTAGCAATTTAAATTTGATAGACAAGTTTTTGTGTAAATATAACTCCTATCATGCGTATAATTTTAGGGCTGAAATTCAATAATTCCTGGCGGTGTTATTTGTTTGTTAAATACCGGTAGATCCCCAGACATTACGTGATGAATTCAAAACTCGAAATGTTTGCAGAATTCATCACTAGAAAATCTATTAAAATTGTTTATTCGCACATAAAATTATGATCAGTGAGAATAAACGAACATATAAAATCTTGAAACGTTGGTATTTTTCAATATACTATTTCGAAAGCATTTGCAGTCCTATAATAATATTAAAAAAATATTTACATTAAATAAGGACAGTGCACGATGCATTGTCTAAGACTTTTACCAAAATGACGAAACGCGTAGAATATATTATTAATATTATTATTATTATTGTCTACGTTAACTGAATACCAAATCACGATGACAAATATACCGCCAAATATACTATCCTGTATGTATAGGTAAAGCTGGTACAATATAAAGATAATAATCATAATATTATATTATATATCGTTATTAATATTTAGAGTTATTTTTGTACTCTGGGCCGACACCGTCTTGGTTGTTCCTGTCAAACACGACGTGCCGTTCATATAAAAATTCCGTACGGTGTTATCTTTCAAATTAAAATTAATTTAGCACCAGTACCTAACCGCATATTTTTTTATTTTTGTTTGACAATATAAATACAATATAAAATTATAAACCAGTGATATAATATGATATTATTTGGTACACAATAGTATATATTATATTATCCAATATGTACATAGTAATAATAATAATAATAATAATATTAAAAACGTGAAAATATTTTAGTGAGCCCCTCAGATAATATGTAGCAGTATAATAATATCGATCACCCACTTCCATTCCACTACACCCTATCATTAGATAATACGACCATTGTTGTCAGGGCTCCTATAGAAGTGTACGCTAGCAGTAATAAAATTATACGACTGTTTTTTGTTCGTTTTCGAAAAAACACGCTAGACAAGTCTCTTTTTTTCTTTTATAATAGGTGACCAAAACTAATTTTTTATTTTTATTCGAAATGAATTTTTTTTTTATGTAAAATGTAAACTTTTTTTGAAATTTCATTATTGCACACGAATTGTTGTTCTCGAAAAACGTTGTAATGAGTAGGACAAAACAATTTTCAATTGCAGAATGATGCTAAGAAACTAAAATTTGACGAAAGGTGTCTACTGAATAAAAAAGTCTATTAAGCAATAATGATTAGGTATTATGATAGTGACGATTTCAAAAATCCAACATCTGTATAGAGCTCCACTGCATACATTATTAAGACCCTGCCCCGCCCTTCAATCGTGATGATATTATATTATGTAGACGGGCGAGATTCAGCCGTACTCTGTTTGGATATCGAGCGCGGGTGTGGGAATCTGAAATGCTTAGACTTTTTCCCGGGCCAGTGGATAAGGGTGGCGAAAAATAAGGGTCGGGGTTTTCGTTGTACGGGGACACGCGTGCTATTCGGTGAACGACGGACAGCGCATTAGACGAAACTGACGTATACTTGCGTATGTGTGTGTGTGTGTGTGTGTGTTGTTTGAACGCAGTCAGAGGTCGTTCACGTCGACGTCGGCCAGCGAGGACATGGAAGACGAGGACGACCGCAGTTGCCAGATCACCGTCACCGTGGAGGCCGACCTCCATGACGATCTCGTGGCGGCGGCGGTCCGTCTATCCATCGCCGACGGGGATCCCACGCTGCCGCCGCCGTCCGAGTCGGCAGACGCGTGCGGCAAAAGCCCGCTGACGCTGGAGCTGACACCACCGGACGAGTACCTGCAGGGAACCCGGCGGCGGTCGATCACGTCGCCGAAGCTGGAACGGCAGGAAGCGTTCGCCGTTAGCGATCCTGCCGATCCTGCGGCCGTCCGCGACCTGTTCCTCACGGTTCCCGACCTGAAGCGCGACAGGGCTGCCAGCATGGACTCGTGCTTTATCAACAAGCCCACGCCCGCCGGAAAACCGGAAGAGGTGGTGCCCGTGTCGCCCACCCAGCTGCTGCTCGATCCCAACTGCGGGCAACCGGCCTGCAGCAACATCCGGTCCAGGTCCGTGGACATCGTGCTGCCCACCGACCAGCAGGCCCGGTACAAGGCGCTCTCCACCAATAATCAGACGTCGTCGCCACCGTCCGCCGTACCCGCGCATAGGGTGCCGCCGGACAAGGGGTGAGTATATTATTATTATTATTATCATAATATTATACGCTTGAATAATAATAACAAAACGTTATCAAATATCGGTTAAAACGTCATGAGTTCGACGTTTGTGTTCACAACGACGATAAGACGTGTTGTATTGTCTTGTAAATTGTATTGTTGTGGTTGTTGTGTCGTACCCGCATGGTCCTACACTCACTCGATCTGGTCTTTCTGGAGAGATTTGTCTAAATCATATATTCAGCAGTCAGTGGATAAGACACTTTTTCATATATATATATATATATAATCCACATTTTGATAAAATTAACTTAAATTATACTACTCCTAGACTTTATTTTAAATATGTAAATATGTAACGATTAATTAGTATATTTTAATCTAATTAGATTTGTTAGATTTATGTATGTATAAAACAGTGAAATCGTGTATATTACTCAGTTTTTTTCAAATGCTGTAAAAGAATAATGCACTAATATTAAGAATTCCGTAGTTTTTAATGTAAATTTAGAGATTTTCATCACGCTCCATCAGTTTTTGCATGCGGAAATTGGATTTTAATTTTAATTTAAAATTTGAAAATCATAGTTTATAGCTGAACTGACCACGACCATAAGACTTTGAATAACTAATTAATGGCTTTAATTAAAATTAATGATTCAATAAATGTACATTTAACTAGCCTCCAAAACGTTTGTACCTACTACATAACCCAGTTGTTAACTTAGACAAGCCCCTCCTTAAAAAAAAAAAAAATACATGTATTGTGTGTTGTCTGAAATTTAAGACGACGATCTGACGTGGCAATATTTTAAAGCAATCTGGACCGCCGAAAAGCACTTTATCTGTCTCGTCTAAGAATGCCATGATTAGGTAATTAATATTATTGTTATATCGGCCCATCAAATATCGGAATCACTTAAAATAACACACATGACAGAACACACGATTGGACAGAAAAACGTATGTGCCTATTCCATTAATGTATCGATTCTCCGGACCAATACTTCAGAAAGTCAGTTGGGAGTGATTACCTACCTAAATCACGAATTTCTGGACAAATCGCGAATGCCGATCGAAATGTTTGCCAGTAAAACGTGCTTACGTACGAGTATATAATAATATAAGATACAATAATATAAGATATATAGATACGATACCGTTGTTCGACTTTAATTTATTTCTCATAATATGATTGTTTGAAATCATTCTTTTAAATCTACTCACGTTACAACGCAGGTGGACCTATAAAAAAAACAATAACACAGACATATCACTAGTTGAATGGTCGATTTTAAGTGTTCGACAGTGATTCGACACAGCCAAGTACCTATATTGCCTATGCACTACGCCGACTACGAATTATGTGTTTAAAAAAAAAGCAGCTAGACTGAATTATATTATTATATAGGGACGAGAAATGGGAATTCGTATCGTTACCCAATCTTTGAAAGTGTTCTGAAGTAGAGCTTTGTTTATTGTAATCGAATTACAGCATACTGTACATATATTATAAAACTAAAAATAGATCGCCCAATATAAAAAACTCGTGTTTTTTTTTATCGAAATTCAGGGTGTTTGTTTCTTAGCTTCATCTTATATATGAATTATACCGTTGGCGTTATATGAAATAAAATATTATCCTTTACTATCTCGTGTACTGGTGAGGTTGTGACATGTATTTTTTAGGATTATGAAAAATATGGTCTCAAGGGTTGTACTTAAGACTTGGCTTTATCTCGCCAGTGAAATGTTAATAAGAAATAAATAAATTTGTCATATTTTATTATGTGTTTTGATCTGGACTAGAATCTTCTGATAAAACCTGTTACGCTTCAACGTAAAGTTGTTGTATTAATCGATTGTGCGAAGTACTTATAAAATATGTAATGCTAAGACAACAAAAGTTAGAACAAAAGTTGATGTCACAATCACCAAATTTCACAGGAAAGACGTTTTAATATTTCCTTTTTTTTATGCAGTATGAAAATGAAAATATGCTCTTTAAGATTACGTCAACATAAATGTTCTCAAAAGTGTAGTTTTTTCTTATTTTTTTAAGGGAATGTTTATATATCTACGTGGCCTAATGGATAATATTCAATTTAAAAAAAAAAACGTTTTAACTGTCGTTTTAGACTTGTAATATTTGGCTCAGTGATTAAATTCATCCTGGCTAACTAATAGTCTCATGATTCATGAAACGATGCTGAGAAAATGTACGTTTGTTGTCCATCAATGTCTACTATTGCCATTGATGTATGCTTTTTTCCGAAATCGTTCAATTTAAAGCCATAGATTAATATTTAAATATTTTATCATATTATTAGACTATGTATTATAGGTTGGTGATATTAGCTAACTGTATATTATATACTATAACGATGAACTTATCTTATAGTTGACCCTAAATAGTTCATGTGTTGCCTTCTCATATTGTTCGCTAAATGCCAAAAAAAAAACATCGGTTCACACGAATAGATTGGACTGCGTTGAGAATGGATAACCAAAATTGCATGCAGATTACTGTATATACATTAATCTACAGGTGCTAAAGATAAATACATTTTATTTTTATAAATTAAAATTATATCAAAGCAATTCGTATAAATATCTTAGTTTTATAGATTGTTTGAATAGTTTGAGTGACGTACTTACTTTTAACTACATTATATTAAATGTCAAATCTTTAATTTTGGAGTTACGAGAAATAACAAAACTCGACTTGGGCGAAGAATCGTGATTTTACAGATTTCAGTTAATTATTCGGTAATATGACGTTTCAAAAGCATCAAATTTATACATTTTTCTCCAGCTTATAGTAAATTTGTGTATTTGTACGGATTCAGTTTATTGTATTCTGATGGAAACTGTTTAGTAAAAAACATTTATATTATTCATAAAAAATTACGATTTTACGGCTGGTAATTTAAATTTTAAATTAAATTCATCTAAATGGAAGCCTTTGTACTGTCTATAATAGTTACCACCATTAGGTAACCGGCACAATATAGCTTATAGGAAATATTATACCGTAAAAGTAATTTTTGAACGTACGATACTGTCCTGCAGATGAGTCTCAACCACGAAGAATTAATATATATATATATATGCATATTAATTGTTCTTCAAGGTCTCGACAATGTGTCTGATGGGACACCTATTCCTCAACTTGCAATGTATGTAGCTATATAGATCGGATTCAAAGCGTAAAATATTTATCAATCGAGCGGGGCAAAACGAAAAACTAAATTTCCCGTCATGTGTGCCGTCGTTCGTGCGGTGTGCATGCGCGGCACTATACCCACGTTTCGCCGAGTTCGCGTAGAAATCGATTCTTATACCACCGCACATAATCGCTCATGACAATGTATAATAATAATAATAATAATAATAATAATAATAATTACTGTTATTATTATTATTATCATTATTGTAGTAATGCCGAAGCTGTATAAACATGCATAAATAGAACGTTGTTGTCAGACTTCGGAAGTCGGATACCTAGTTATCTCACATCGACAGTCCGTATTTCACTCGTCACGAATAATGGCGATTGCGGGGCTTCGGCCCGAGAACTTGGGAAGTTGCGGTGTACTAGAGACGGTGGTCTCGGATCCCCGGAGTCTCTCAAATGTATGTATATGTTTGCACGCATATATCGCATATATTACCGCTGTTATTATTGCATTGATGTGTATTGTATACTCAGTAAAATATAATATAGTCTGGCAAGAGATGTTAAGTGACTACACGAGATTGAAATAATTGGTATATTATGACGTAAGTCTAGACGAAAGTTTCCATACACGAGACAAACAATATATTATCAAGTCTGTCCCGTTAAGTAGCATTATATAAATTATTTATGTATAAGCGGTGGCCGGAATGGATGTTACACATTTGAAAAAAATGAAATGTCACGATTAAAAGTTCTTATTTTCTTTTTCCTATTTTTTTCCATTCGTTAATGGTAGGCACTTAAGTATAGCCATAAATAATAATATATTCCCCCTCCCCTTATAATGCGAGGATACATTGTACATTTTTAAGCACGTTCATCCCTGTAGTTATGCTTAAATTATGTATTTATTGGAATTCTCGTTATAGACATTTTTAAGTCAGCCTGTTTTAACGATTGATTGCCTTCGAAATTTAAGGACTTTAGCTATCACGCAACTATTCTATCAAGGTTTGATTGTTTGGATTGTACAAACATACATGTTTAATCAATACGCGAATTATATGCGCGATTGACCATTTGTAACTGAAGATAATGTGCTACAGAATAGACAAGATTTATTCGACAGGGTTTGCATTTGTAAATGATTAACCTTATGTCTTGACTCAAATCTTAACGAAGAAGTTAATACAATTGGACCATTGTTCAAAAATAAGGTGACTATAGTGAGTAATGATATTGTGTGCTTCTGATTATAAAACAACACAATTCTAGTTAAAATAACAACAGCGCGTTGTAAATATCAACTAAAATCAAGGTCAAATGAACAAACTATAATTTCTAAAATAATGAATTTTCTCGTTATTTTGAATGTATTAAAAAGGTTTTATATTAAAATATTCAAATAAACTACATTAATGAGTCAAAATAACAATGTGTTAACTGCTATTTAATAATAATTATTATCAAACAATGTTATGATTAGTTAAATTAATATTATTATAAAATATTGATTCAAACGCACAGTTCGTATAATTCAACAGCTTCACTACTAATAATATCGTTCAGAGTCGTGTCAACACTAATATTTTTTTTTATATACGATTACCATTCATTTTACAATTGCCATAATTAACGGTCGGTGAGGCGTCGTCGTACGAGAAACGTGAGAATAATATGCGTAGGTATACCTACAAAAGCGGCTGGTACATTTGTTGGGGTACCTTATCACACCTTACTCGACTTTTAATTTTCAGGCATTTCATGAATTTCGTTGGACCGGAAGCGAAGATGAAACAATATCCGTACGCAAGACTAGGTTCACCGG